TTCTCAGAAACAAATCTTATTAACACATGTAAGGATTACTGTTGCACTTAACAAGTTTGATACAACCCAGTCAAGCTCTGGTTTGCGTCAACTTTAACTGAGGAAATAATCAACAACGTTTAATTAATGAATTATTACTAATTGAACCGAAAACACACTATTTAATACAAGTCGACAAGTCACCACATTTTACAACCATCATAAATCGCCATTAAAACGAAAATAAAAACAAAACTGTTACGAAATGGTTCCCGGTCGATTCCAAATTTAAATTTAGGCGCGAACACAGCGCGCTGAAACGATAACAAACAGCCAGTAGTGAGTCAACGTGTAAATATAGAATTTTTGAATTATATCACCTGGCAACATTATCGCTTTGTGTATTGACTTTGTTTAACGTTTACGAGATTTAAGTCAACTATGAAGAAGCGAAGCTATTAAGAATCTGGAAATAGTTTGTTCGTAGTCATCGTCTACGTAGGCATGAAGAAATAAATGATCGGGTTCTAAAACTTCCTTAACATCCTTAGATCGACAATTTTTTTTTATGCTATAGGACGGTAAACGTGCTGTTTTTATGTTATAGACGGATTGCTTGAAGGTAAGCAATCGGCGCCGCCAATGAAAACACGTAACTCCAAAGGAGTTACGAGTGCGTTGCCGACCTTTTAGAGATAAGGGTTTCGAATATTTCAATATTTGGGATAGTTTCACGCTGGTCTTCTGTGAGACCGTGGTATCACTTCGGCTAAGGCTACTCCTTCATGCCGAAGACAGAAGATTAATCACCTAGTCCACTTTAATGTGCCATGTATTGTCATGCAGACGCATTATGCTAAATGCGCTAGCCTCATACTTGGTAAAAATCAACACTTTCCTTCCACATCAACATTATATTAAACTGTTAAACTAGTGCGTATAACAATAAATTGTCATTAGATCATTTAGCTAAACTGAAAGACAAAGTTAAAATCGTGTTTTAATGTTCTGTCATCAAAGTAGTTTTTGTACTCTGGGTATAGGTACTGAATGTACCAGCAGACATGGATCGTGAATGATGATTGCTTAACTTATCCATAAAAATACATTTGAAACGCCAAATTAGACAAATAAATTTATCAGTCTGTTCTTCAGTAAAGCTAGGTTCTCTCTATTAAGCGTTCTGTAAGCTTGAATATTAAGAAACGACCAATTGTCTCTCCAATTCCTATAATCTTGTTTCGCCGTCCAGTTTATACGAGTACCTAGATATAGGAAGCTTCAGTGTCGGGCCGGAGCCGGCAAAAAAGTTAAAACAACAGGGTCTCCCGACTCAGGGACTCGGCCCACAGTTTATTTATAGAACCGGGAATGCACTGGATGAATACTTAATGCCTTGTACACTTTGCAACTAACGAAGCATTGTCTGGGTTTTTCATTTGTTTTGACATTGAAATTAAAGTAAGACTGTATTTTTAGTAAATAAAAAAATTATTATTAAAAAAACAAAATACCCGACTGCACACTAAAAAAAGAGTAAAACAAGCCCCACAATACAAATTTACTGAATATAATTTATAAATGTTGATGGAAAGCATCGCAGGCGGGGACCAACAGAGGCTTATTTATAGTCATTTCTGTTGTGCACCATTTAGCAGAATTTTCGTTGGTGGCGGTCAAGGTGGTCCCCGCCTGCGATGCTTTCCATCAACATTTATAAATTATATTCAGTAAATTTGTATTGTGGGGCTTGTTTTACTCTTTTTTTAGTGTGCAGTCGGGTATTTTGTTTTTTTAATAATAATTTTTTTATTTATAACTTTTTAGCTGTTTTTTTAAAGGGAAATTTAGAAAAAATATTATTATGTCTTTATCCCGTGGGACTTTTAGGATAAAATGTATCCTATGACACTCCCGTAATCAAGACAAATCTAACGATACCTCATACATCAAAATCCATCAAGCCGTTTAGGCTACAGGAGGTCACAAAGGAACAGACATACATACATACTTACATACACTCGAAAAACATTACCCTCCTTCTTTGGCAGTCGGGTAAATAGATGATTACAATAATTAGTTTTAAAAGGCTTGATGTGTTACCTTCGGGTTAAAGATAAAGAACTGAATACCAGAAAATAATTCGATTAATTTAATCCATCCTAGATCATCTTGTGCGTCCAATAGACATTTTTTTTACTTTGCTAGGAAGGATGTGGTTACTTTAAGTTGTGTAGTTTAAAAAATAGGTCTAGCATACTTCAGAAAAGGTTGCATATAGTATCAATAGCCTTCTTAGACGTATTGTTAAATTACATACAGTTGTTACATTGTTACCAGAACAGGCACTATAGTAATGTATACTGCATCAGTTGCAAGGCAAGTTGGCGCTGTATTATTACACAAAGCGTTTACACGATATAAATTTTCTCGCACTCAATACCGCTCTCAGATTGAATAATTTATTGCAAGACTGGCGCCTTGGTTTGCTAACTCTTAGCTATTTTGAGTAAGTTCCACGGATACAAAAAGGTTCATTTAAATCCTAACATTTTTCAAGGACTTTTTCCATTCTAAAGTATAGAGTTACATTTTTATTAACTGACTGGAAAAACAAAATAAAATCTAACATAATTCTATTCTCGTGGATAAAAGTATATGGGTTAAACGACCTTGGCGTGACCATTAGTCCAGTAGGGCCGAGCCCAGCAGTCCCATGGCAGAAATAGCTGCGGATACAGGCGAGGTTGCGCACCTGCCCTAATTACTACAACACGTGGGCGAAGATATGACTGACGGATAGTATGGATACAACTCTATCCTCTGATACTTTCCAATATACTGCAGTTTAGAATCGAAAATGCTGTGAGTAACATCCAGAGAAGATATGTTACTTTTTGTCAGTTTTTAAAATTCCCGGGTATTAAGGAGACAGCTTATTGCCCTACAATACAGTCTTTCCGTCCAAATATAATTTAGGCTAGTGTGAATAAGCTCTTAATAAACTAGTGCGCCTTACCATCAACGATTGCATGACTGCTTACCATCAGATGGGATCGCCGTCAAGCACTAGTTTATAGCAAGTAAACGCTGACCACAGTTCCAGATTCCATGTTAATGCAGTGAATATTAGCGACCGAATCGAAGCAAATGTTTCTTATTAACTATTAATTCATTAAACTCTTATTGTCTTACTATTGACTCCTATTACCTCGATAAAAGGTTAACTCGATTTCGTCACAACTATCTATTTGCGACATGTGCAAGTTAAGTTTTATCATTTGATAGCACTCAGCAACATTGTAGCTATCTATCAGTGAAATAATTTTGGAAATCCGACCAGCGGTTCCAAGGAATACCCCCTTACATACAAACTTACTTTTACCTCTTTATAATATTAGTATAGATGACATAATCATAATAAAGATACTTGAAATCTGCACATTGCCACTCATCTACCACTCTTAATTCATACGAAAAACAGCGATGACCAAATTGACCAATGGGCAGTATAAAAACAAAAATAATGAAATAATTGATGTTAATATACAAACCACGAGTACATAAACACGAAATAATTACTGTTCCTAGAACACGCAAATCAGATTTTATTATAATTAATAAAATGCTTTTCTAGGTTGCCTGTCTTGATAGCCTATTAGGCACCAATCTTGCTGATTACGTTAGATACAGCTAGACTATAAAAGTGCAAAGATTTATGTTTGGCTACAACTTGAGGTTAAAGAACTCTGCCGTGTCCATAAATTTGAACTAGTAGCATAGCTTCACGATTGTCTTTCGTGATAGAAAAGGTAGCGGTGTAAACTACGCCCACCCTTTTAACCAGTTTTGTCAGTAGTCACACATGTTCGAGTTGGCGATATTTGCCATATCGATCATCGACAAGCTTCAAAATTTTATTATAATGGTTTCCAACCATTTCTGACAGTAAGCACTGCACCTTCTCATGTTTCAAAAGCATCTACGTCTATACAAGCATGTGTGCCCTTGTGGATACTCACTAGCCGTATATATTTTACAAGCTTCTGCCCGCCACTTTGTTCGCGTGGAATAGTGAGTTCCTGTTATTTTTGGTCAAAAAAAACTATCCTATGTCCTTTCTCTAGTTCCAAACTATGTTTGTACCGAATTGCACACAAATAGGTTCAGTAGTTAAGGCGTGAAGAAAAGACAGACAGAGTGAGTTACTTTCGCATTTACAATATAAGTTTGGATTAAAATAAATTGTGTACCTAGGGACTTGCTTTGACTTTTGACTTTCCTCCGATTCCTTGTTAGCAAGTTTTTGGCAGTGTCTGCGCTAAACTTAGTAAACGAGCTCGTCAAGCTGGCAACCAAATAGGATACTCTATCGACCAACTCCTTTACTATTGATTATCACTCCATGTGGGTTTAAATTGCTTCGTAATTCGATGACTCACTTGAAATTAATTTTAGTCTTTCGAATTCTATCACTCTTGGCATTCTATGACACATTCATCTGATTTATATAACTATAACTAGGCTTAAGGTTCAAATTCTTTTTCTATAAACGACCAATATATTTTAAAGAGACTTTGACTGTTAGGAATATGTTAATGTGCTAACTTCTATATCTAAGTACTAGTATATCATAGACATTTTCCAATTTTTCGTTCAAAATCAACAAAGGGAAAAATATAAAAATAATATATAAGTGTATACAGTTTTCTGCCACCAATTGTTTCGCACAAACAAAACCTGTAAGTACAATATCAATCATCGAACCTTGGTCTTAACAGTCCATTAGCTTTTATAGACTATTGTTTAGTGATGATTTCATTTACATAGCTGGTGCAACAAATGACTTTACATAGTCAAATTTTATTACTGATGTCAAAAAGTATTGAATTTATAGCTCGAGTACTTTGATTATCCTTGAACCTTGTTCATATTATTTTAATAATTCAAATACCTTACTCACTTTTTCATTGTGAGTGTCAAGGTCATTTGTTGACACGCTATTTTTTTTTATGGAATAGTTGGCAAACGAGCAGACGGATCACCTGATGGAAAGCGATCGGCGCCGCCCATGGACATCCGCAACACCAGAGGAGTCACAGGTGCGTTGCCGGCCTTTTAAGATGGAATGTGCTCGTTTCTTGAAGGTCGTATCGGTTCGGGAATACCGCCGCCAGAAGATCAAAGCTATATACTCACGTAGGTAATTCAACAGGGAGTTGTCAATTATTAAATTGGACGATTACGGTACTGAACAGTGGCTAATGAATAGAGGACTTTGTAATTAGTCCGTCGAAAGATAGCTAGTTGATTATCTCATGTTATCTTGCAATTTTAATCGATAGCTTTAGAACAGAAGTATTATGATGCGGAGAAACAGGGCCTTCTCCCTTTTCTGCGAAGCAGTCATCCTCGCAAAGAACTAGAACCAGACCCGAAGAACTTAGGGCGCATAGCATTCTACGCGCGCCTCAAAGAGCCAAAAGAGCTGATTAATCAACCGGTTCGATAACGGCACAATAATATACCACGACCCTAGCCCTAGAGCAGAAGAAGAAAAATTGGTAGTTTGAATCAGTAAGTATCTGACACTCCCTTTCCCCACCTAGGGCGAGAGAACCAATAGATGATATTCCACCATTAAAAAAAAAACAGAAGTATCCCGTTCCATCATCGGACCACCAGACGTACGGCATTGCGCCACCGGTACATGGTGGATGTCCCACATATACCTACGTACAAAACGTTTTGGGAGCACATTCATTATGCGTACAGCTAAGGAGTGGAATTCCTTGCCGGAGTCGGTGTTTCCTGATAGTTACAATCTGGGTATCTTTAAGTCAAGAGTGAATAGGTTACTTCATGGTAAGCGCGCTCCATAGTCGACCGCATCGTCGCTTTCCATCAGGTGAGATAGCGGTCAAGCGCGAACCTATAATCAATTAAAAAAAAACAAAAAAACAGAATTATAACGAAACGACGACGAAAATTATAATTGTATGACTCTTGGACAGACTGGGTAAGAAAATAGGAAATCAGATTTGACCTTTTGACTTCTTCTAGATTTAGGTGAGCTAGATTAAAAATAGTTTTAAAAAATAACACTAGATGACTGTAACGATTGTTTCAGAATTCTGACTAGCGTCTAACATTGACTTGAGTGCAATATTTTTAATTCACAACAGACTTGTAAGCTTATTGAGCTGACGATTTCCAGAAACCGATGAAGTATGGTATACTTATAATGTATTAGATAAAAATATTTGGAGGTTTTCCCACAGCTTTAATATTCATAAAAGATAAATTAAGTATATTAAATGTTAGGAAGAAACAGACTTTTGTGAGGGGAATATCATAGAATGGAAAGAGAGGGAGTGTCAGGTTAAACTGATAAAACATTTTGAGGAGTCACGGACATTTTGAGAGAGGAATACCATTATATTCTCCCGTCCTGACTGGGGCAAGTGAGTGTCTGACTTATACTGACTAAAAACCACCCTGTGCCTACTTCTGCTCCAGATCGGACCCACGGTTCATTATAACACTTTCCTTTTACCCGCAAACTGGATTAGACATCGAATAATAAAACACTGAGTTACTTTCGAATTTTTAAAAGGCTGGGTGCAATGTTTTCTGCTACTAGAAAAGGATCTACCATCAACTTTACTAATTTACTTGAATGATGTGACAATATCAGTAATTCTTTCATCAAATCTTTCATTTGGGTTCACCACCTATAATAATAGCTGGAATAGAAATTAAAAATAATTATCATGATTACAAGCCATTTTTAAGTACCTTGTACCCCCCCTTGTTAGACTGGACCTTGTATTCTCGCCTTGACTTTTGATAAAATCTGATTTATATATATTCATACTATGTGCAATATAAACAGTGATAAGTGCACATGATAAAGATAATGCATATTATTGTACTTGTATGGTGTTTCTAAATATATTTTTTACTACTGGTAACATGTATGAATATCTATGAAGGAATGCTGAATTTTGAATTAATACAAAACTTTACTTTTTGTAGTTTTATAAATGACATAGTAAATATATACTTATATCTGGCTAGCTGGAGAGTTTGTTTGTTTGAACACGCTAATCTCCAGAACTACTGGTTCGAATTGTATAATTCTTTTTGTGTTTGTTAGTACATTTATCGAGGAAGGCAGGCTATAAAACATTACGCTACGATTTGTAGAAACCGCACGACAGAAGCTAGTATTAACATAGAATTCCTCTAGTTTGTCTGTTTGGACCTAAATACATTTGTCATACTTCACAAAAATTACAATACCAAACAAAATATTTTGGTAGCTATTACATACACTGATTCAAAAGAGGAAGTTGTATGATAACAATTTTTAGCTTTTGGAATGAGATTAATAATTCGCTCTTAGTTACTGCAATCTTAATTGGTGTTTTAAAAGTGAAAAAATGATGAATGAAATAATGTATCAAAGAATCTTTATGTGACACTGATTTTAAAAGAGTAACCATGGAGTTTCTTGCTCGTACTTCTCCATCGGAATCTACACTTTGGAACGAGCGAATAGCTTCACTAAGAGGACTGACCAACAGACTGACACTTTATATCTTTAAAATTTTCTTTGACTTTCATAAGTGTAATTGAAATAAATGATTTTCACCTTTGACTTTGAAAGTAATCTTGTTTGACTGTTACCCCTCCTAATATTTAACTGTACTTTATATAATAAAAGTGTTTATGGAATAGGTCAGCATACAGGCTGTTAGATTATCTAATGGTTTGCAATAGTCGCAGACCATGGACACCTGCAACATCTAATGTTACAAATTTAACTCTTGTGCATTAATAAATAAATAAATAAATAAAATTTATTGAAAAACTCATAGAATATAAACTTTTGATTAAAGCTATTTGTGACCAGTGCATTGCATGCACTAGTAGTAAACACAGATGATTGGTTGAAATTTCATATGTAGACAGGCACCCTTTTTTTTGTGAGGGTATATTTATCAAATGACTTCTCCCGCCCAGGGCTGGGCGAGAGAAGTCAGGGAGTGTCAGACTCTTACTGACTAAAAAACCCCCTGTTCCTTCTCCTGCTCTAAGCCGAGGGTGCGGTGCCTATTTACGCTTACCCCGCAACCCCGGCAGAACAGGTGACACCCTGGATTAACAAATAGGCTGCTTTTTATCAATATACCATGCAGGCATAGCGCCGGTTCCGTAGGTAGTAAGTACTTTAGTATTCTTTTCTTTAGTTATTCAAAATTGTCATAGAATATTGATAATGATATGCAGAAACCTGTTTTACTGACCACAGCTAATGACCTTTAAGTCATAAAAAGATTACTCATAATTTATACAAAACAGGTGAGTCAGTGACTAGATGCTGAGCATTGAGAGTAAAGAACTAACTATTGAAAACAATGACCATATTAATACTAGTAAATCAACAAATGGTTCATTCATGAAATTATGAAGATGACTCATATTTTTAAGACAGTATGTAGCCTTTATTTTGAGGGCAGGCAATCATCAAATGACTTCTCCCACAAGGGGGATTTTGGGTGGGGTTAAGGAGTGGACTGGACTGAGACTCTTTGTGGCTAAAATCCACCTTATTACCGAATGTACTAAGCCCAGGCGAGGGCTGCGGTAATTAATGCACTTGACCCATAACAACAGATCTATGTATGTACCCTTTACAGACATTTTATAGTATGATAAAGAGGTAGAAACATAGTTTTGTTAATCTTATTTTATGTATGATAGAATCTTACATTAGAAGAAATATGGTAAATAATTAAGAACTTTCTAAACAATAGTTTATTTAATTACTGTGTATTAAGTTCCACTTTTAAAAAGAATTATCAAATATCTAGAATATTGTTCCAATTTGCATAAGAAACTTAAACCTAGAATAAGACTGGTACGAAACTTATAAACATTCTTATTGGTAGGTGACTGCAGTATTGTAAGTTCTTCACATTTATAATTATTAACTTTACAAACTTATTTGAATCTTGTAATGTGAACTAGAACTATTTTGTGTAAAACTGGTCTCATTTATGGACATCCACACCACATTGCCAAGTATTACAAGTATTTAAATATAGTACTCGTAATTAGCTTTTATTATACAGTATGCTGTAACCAATTGTTAACCAAAACTTTATACTGTGTCATATTCATTAATTCAAATTACTGACTTGCCATTCAAAAACAGAACAGTAACAACTGATTCACTTCACACTTCTTACCAGCCAAGGTTAACCAACATACGACACCCTGGTTCGCCCGCTAACCCAACCAAAAAGGCCGACACTGTCTCACGACCAAATAAAGACATTTTCATCGCATTCCTCCCGCGCTAATCACTGCTATGACATAATACGCCGATAATATTGAAGTAAACGACGGCTGTAAACAATAATCTACCAATTTCACACCTACATCAGCCAACTAGGACGTTTTTCTATAAATAATATAAAGTTTAACTCTCACCTGTTGAGCAACTGGCTCCAAAATACTCTCGATTATCTTCGTGTGAAACACCGGCATTTTGTATTTTTAAGTCTAACACTTAATTACATTAGATAATAAACACAAATAACAATGATCTCACAAAATATTCACAAAATAAAATAACACAACCGAACGAGCGAAGCGACAGAAAAATACTGACGGATAGTGTTGCGCCATGCGAGTCGTCTCACGTCTCGAGGTGAGCTAGTGTGGTACAAAGGTATAAAATATGCGTTATCGATACAGTGTGGTTCGTACCATGAGAGAAGTCACGTTTTGTATTGAAACATTTGTAGAATACTTACCTTATAATTTCTTTAATTGTATTTATTTATGTTCAATCCGTGACTTGACTATTTTATAAAAAGATTTTAAATCTATTATGAATCTAAATGGGAATAATTTTATTTCACAAATGAAGATTTTGTATTGTATTATTGTGTAGGTAATGTCCAAAGCTAATAAGTGAACTTGTGTTCTCATTTCTATTTTAAGGAGAAAGGTCTGTTTTTATAATCATTTATAAAATACTAACATTTGCCCGTAACTTCGTTCGAGACTTCCTGCAGATTTTTTATATAAAGACTCATATGCTATGCTCCTTTCTCGAGATCCAAAATATGTCTGTACCAAATTTCACAAAAATTGGTCCAGTAGGTTAGGCGTGAAGAAAAGACAGACAGACAGAGTTACTTTTGCATTTACCATATTAGTTTTTTGGATTTATAAAATACGAGCGTTTGTCCGCGACTTCATTCACGTGAAGTAGCGACTTCCTGCAGATTTTTGTAATAAAAACTATCCTATGACCTTTCTCGAGTTTCAAACTATGTCTGTACCAAATGCCACACAAATCGGTTCAGTAATTTAGGCGTGAAGAAAAGACAGACAGAGTTACTTTCGCATTTATGTAATATTAGTTTGGATTAAATATCTTATCTACGTCTGGATATTTTTTATGCAATAACAACATACACTTATTTGCTTACTTATTACATGAGGATGTATGTATAATATCTACTTACAAATTGAGAAAATTCGATGTGTAAGGTAGGTACCTGTGCATTTGATTTTTTAGAGGTATGAGGAACAGGGTGGAAAGTCCCTCATCCTCCATTGAAAAGGGAGGATCCTCCGACCAGGCGAGGTGTTCGTGCCTGGTGGGCTACTGCCCGACGGTTGTTGTCGGGATATCTGTATGGGTGCTAATTGTGTTGATAACTCTTATAGCGCGATGTAGAATCTTGCTCGTGATTGGTGCTGTTGTTTATGTAGTGCGCTAGATGTCGCTATAATTTGATTTGCTCCTGTTAGCAGCTCTGCCTAAGCCTTCGGGAAGAAGAGTATGTTGTTGCGCTATTTTTAATAGTTAATTTGGTAGTGAATAACACATAAAACTTATAAAATTAAGGTAATTAACAAAAAAACTACTTTTATATTCAAATGATTTATTACATTAAGTAGGTACCTATGTATGTTCAATCTTACAAATTATCAAGTCTTTAAAATTACGTGCAATAGACAAAATTTTCTTTCTTATTTAATAGGATAAATCATACAGTAATACAATCGGTCCGTCGATTAAGGTAAGTAAGGTACATAAAATCTTCAACATTATTATAATAAAAAATTGAACAACAGGCGGCAATACCGATTTTTGTAATAGTAAATAGTAACAATCTACAAATTATAGAAAATTTATAAACAACTGAACACATCGAATCTAACAACTAACTTGACTACAAATATCACAAATAAAAATAATGGGAAGTAGGCCCAACAGTGGGATACCATTGTTGTGCGTTAAGAGATCCTGTGCGATTCGACTAAATCTTTTTACACTTATTCGATGTTAAAATTTAATACTTTCGATAATTTTTACATTTTACATTTATAGACCCGTGAGCGAACTTGTCGATGAATTTTTACACATCTAAATATATTTATTTATTTAGAATATTGTACTACAATCTGTCATGTTAACTAACAAATGACAAAATATCCAAACAATAGTAAGAGCCAAAATGCATTGACAAAAATGCATTTCATAAACTTTATTTTAATACATTTTTAATAAAATAACAGGTAGCAGTAGCTAATACCTATACTCGTAATCCTTTTAAAGTTACAATCAAATGTCCACCACTACCTACATCAAATATTTGACAGTTTTGTGATCTATTAACAAATTAAATTGGCGCCAAAATTAAAAGAATTTCAAAAACATTGTTACATTTAAAATTTCTTCTTCACATTCAAATGTCAATTGTTTTTTACATAACTCAAATCAAAATACGAGTTTTTACGTTAAATCATTTGGTTTTATTTATCCGAACTTGCTTCCACTCGATACTAGCACTGCTAGGTTAATTAGCTAAACTGTGACATCATTACAAATACTCAACTATATCGCACTTTATCGATATATTTGGACAACTAACACCGTAACTGAGATTAAGTCCGTGTGGTTGGCTCTTGTGCCTTTCTGTGAGAAGTTTGTGGAAGATAGGTAAGATGGCGCACTCGAAAAGTTCTGATTCCGAACTTGCCGTATACATCTTACGCTGGTCTACTGATTCTTGCCGTTTGGAGTCACTCCTGTAGCCGGTAGACTTTCGGTCTTCCCGTTTACTAGGAGAATCTGGACAGAAGAAAATATACTTATTAATTGCTGATGGTAAAATTAATCACAGAATATGTCTTTGTTCTAAATGTTTAAAACTTTTGTACAAGCATGCACATAACGTTTCTTAGGTACGCACCCGTTTTGTGCCTTGACGCAACATTGGGACTACTCTTATGGTGATCAGGTCTCGGCGTGTGACTGGCTTGGGTCAGTCTTGGAGAATCCCCAACACCCTTTGCCCTCTTCAAAGGCTCAGCTTCCTGCCTCAGCCTCTTCGCAGGAGAATCCTGTGTTTTCACCATTCTAATGGTGTCAGGATCAGGTTTCCATGTTTCTGTCTCCAGAACAGGTTCTGGCACAGATTTTCTGGGAATGTCATCGTGTCTTCTCGGTGTCGACTCTGTCTTTGACTTTCGTTCTTCTTCTCTTGCCATTCTCTCTTCTTGATAAGATCTGACCTGAAGACAGATTTTTAATGTTTTATGAAGTCCGCAAGTATTTACAAGGCTATAACTCGAATGCTAGTGAAAACTTTGCAGAGAAGGGTTACTTACATGAGCTGCAGACTGTCTCCTTTTGGCTGGAGCCTGTTGTGGAGGTGTGCTGACTGGTTGTGGAAACTCAGAGCCTCGTCGCTGTGAAAGTAAATATAGATCAAACAAAGGTAAGATGCCTCCTTAATCTGTGACCTTTACTAAAGTCATTATTACCTTTGATAACCTATCTGTCATTCTGAGGGTTTCCGCTTCCCGATAGCCTTCAGGGGTACCACCTCTCGTACCGGTCCCAGTGCCTGATGAAAATTAACTTTATAAGCAAAGACTTTGGTTGCTATTAAAATGGTAACCACAGGCAAAGTGGGTACAAAGTTTACCATAATTTATAGAAGCATTTGAAGCTCTCCTTTCCATGCTTCTCGTGTCAGTTTCCCTGGAAAGGTGTTAAGGCGATTTAGGAACAAAATCAAGATCAAAATTAAAAGCGCGAAAGATATGTAGAAAAGTAAGCCTTAAGGGATGAAGGTTGAAGTACCTGTGATGATGGGGTGAAGACTGTGATTGTCTACTCTTTTCTGACACACTTCTCTGCATTGGAGAGTGATGGTGACTTACTGCAGAAATGGAAAAGGCAAATTAATTTAGAAAATAACTTTTTGGGAGAAAAGGACTTCTATAACCAAAATAAGCTTTAAGAAATCAATATACTTGGAATTTATAAAGACAGACAAGTATAGGATAGGCTCTAGTTTCTTTTACTTAATCGATTTATAAAGACCAGCCTAAGGGATTTGTGTGTAAGCAAGTGGGAGAGCCGTGCATCTTGACGCATGAGTCGGCTTGACCGTAGTGGTACTAGGGACTCACAGAAAACCGAGGAGTAACGATGCGCGTGCTTCTCCTTTTTCTAATCCAATCCCCAATTTTCAAATCACTAACCCCCAAAAGACCAGCAATGCACTTGAAACTTCTCGATGTTTCTGGCGCCCGTGGGCGACGCCGATTGTTTACCATCACGTGATCCAAATGATCGTTTGCTGACATAAATCATGTAAAATCTTCAGTTTGATCTTCTGGAACCATAGAAATTCCAACCAACTTACTTCCAAACATCTAGTTCTACTGTACGTCTAGTCTGCTACTCAATAAGAGTAAAGTCATCACCTGTGGCGCTCTCACCTGCTGGAGGAGACTTCTGACAGGTGTACTGGAACGTGTTTGTATCCCATAAGTCACTCTGCACTACTATGAACTCTTTCTTCCTTTTTTCTGAGTCTCTTCTCTGGCCTGGAAAGGTTGAGCAAGTAGAGATAAATGGATATTTGCCAACTTTTTCCTGTAAACATGGGCTTTCTGTAGTAGAAATTTATTGAACGAAACTAAAAGTTATCCAGGGAAAAAGATTTGCAAGAATTCCAGTGCTACTTTTCTAAGGTGAATTCTCATTTAATTCATTATACCTACGCCGACGGTCCTATTGATCTTCTATTGTGTTACCACGATTGAAAGGTTAATTAGAGGACAACTTACATGATTTTCTTCTTTCTGTCGAAGAGTAATCATGGTCCACATCCAAAATGTCTTCTGGTTCCACCTTTGGTTTTATGAGAGGCACTGGATCTCTTTCTTGACCTGAAACCAAACCCCAAAAATATTTATGTGTTCCTAATAATTCTTTAATTTATTTTGCATATTCTCATCCTTACCTATAACCTTTCTCTCCATTCCAGGAGGTGGTTCTAAGTCATCCTGATCTACAGACACATGCATCAGATCAGTCAGAAGAGCTGCCTGACTGACACTGGACATCCGCCTGTGGCCCCGAGGTGGGGGCTTGTGGTCTCTCGATGGCGTGGTCTTTGTTGATAAAGAATCTTGCGTCTTAACGACTTTCTTTTGAAGTTCAGGAGTCTGTACAAGAAATAGAATTATGTCAATTGAAAGGAAGCTATGATTAGGAAGGGCTAGTCAACGTTTCTTAGCCTACAGCCTGCGTCAGTACAGTGCGTTCAAACAAGCAAACTTCAACTTTCTAATATTGTAGGTTACTATCAGTTCATTACCTTATTAACTTTAGGTGTGGCAGCCTTTGTATACATTGGTTCCTGAACTTTTGCTGGCATGGATTTGACAGTTGGAGTGTCACTGGTTTTCAGAGCTGGTATTGTCTTCGCTTCCGCTCTCGCTGGCTCTGGTACCTTCATGGATTTCGGTGGCTCTGATGGTTCCTGTGCATTTTTAAATAAGGATAGATTAATGTTAACATTTTCATAATAATTCATATTTCCAGGTTAAAGATTCTATTGGACTAATGCCCGGTTCCTATATTTAACGAATCGTCGTTGTATACGCATTACGACCAAATGACATTACGAATAGTTATCTTGACCGTCTACTGACGGTAAAAATATTTATAGGAAAACCACAGACACCATAGATCTCCATACAATTCGCTTACCGATATCCGTTAGTTGCAAACCGTCAGTAAGTTGCACGACGAGACGTTTGTTATAGGAACGGTTTTAGATTACGAGTCGTATATAAAACTACTATTCGTAACTAAAACGGATCGTTTCTCAATTATAGGAACCGGGCATAAATGGTTGATTGATATTAGTTTACAATTGAGAAGTACCCCTTTGCTTAATAAAAGCATTTTAGGACGGAAAAGGACGAGCATTATTATAAGAAGTTAAAATTTTCTCGATATATTTACTCATCATCATCATCATCAGCCGGAAAACGTCCACTGCTAAACAAAGACCCCTTAAAAGGGAGATATTTACTCATACCGTATGGAAAAGATTCTGATGTGAAAACTACGCAAATGAATAATCCCCGTAGGATACGTACCTCTGCACTCCACCCCCCATAGGGAAGCTTCGCAAGCTGATCTTTCTCAGGCACAGCTTTGGAAGAAGGTGGACTGGTGTAGTCCAAGTGGTTCTTGAAGGAGACGTTCTTTGTCTGTTCCTTTTTGGGTTCCTTTGGTGGTGGGTCTTTGAGAGGCTCTGGAGGCGCTGAGGGCTTTGTTCTGTAAAAAAATGAAGATAAGGGACTATCTAGTCTGGTACATATCAGACGGTTTGTCTTATGTGGATAGGTTAAAGACGACGTATGAAAAAGGGTGATAATGTTTTAGTAAAAAAAGTTGATGAGGAAACTTACTTCTCAATGTTCTGCTGGTTTTGCAGGTTAATGTACTCTGCCTCAGCACCAGCTGACGCACTCAGACTGCATACTGATGTGATGTCACTGGTTTCTGTAAATTATAGGGTCAAGTCAGTCAGACAAATAGTTGTGACTTTTATGACTGACGGGATAAGCGTTTAGTTTTTAGAAGTTTCTCGAATTAAGATATCTTATAACAAATTTGAATAATGATTACCTGGGTGACTAATGTTCTCCTTGGGCACTGGAAGTCTGGTTCTGGAAGGAGCTGGTGACCGAGAGTCCCGCGTTGTAGACGACTCTGAGCTCGCATCGCTGCCAAGTTTACTGAGTAGCATCTGGAACACATGACAAAGAGTTGTAGACTAGCCTTAAATGTTGCTAATTTCGATCTGCTTACAACTCTGTCTTAGAGCGAATTCCTTTAAAACTCTGGTAATTTAAAAATCGAGTTAGAATGGGTTCGTTTAAGAGAAAATAATGATAATATAGGTAAAAAGAGCTACATGTTGAATCAGTGAAATGTTGATGAATAATAAGATTCTGTGACTTATTAAACATTAGTGATGTTTCGTTATAATAAGTTGTAATCATAAAAAGGAAAGAATACTACAATTTTATGAATGAATTTGTTGAAAATTTTAACCGTGACTAATTTCGTAATAATCTTCAAACGTGTGTCGAAAATAACTATTGTTTGATGTTTATTCGCTTGGCAGCTAATACAAATTAAAATAATTCAACGGAAATAGCTTAGTGACCGATTCTACAATGCTCTGCTTTTATTATTTCTTATCACTACTCTACTTTTAGTAGATCATTCGGTTTATTGCCGGGGAATTTCATGATTTCTACAGGTACTTATAGATAAATCAATAAAAATATCATACCCTCACATGTAATTTTGAAATAATATTCTGACCAATATTTTAGATTTTACTTTCACACATTTATTTATTCACAATTTTCATTTACTGCCTTCGTTATTTCTATAATTTCATTAGTCAAGGTATAAACAATTTCTAGCCAATTTGAAATACTCACTATGATCACTGATTACTCACTGACACTATGATCTCACCTGCAGCTCATTTTCTTTTGCCTGTAGCGTACGACGGTAACGATTATTATATTGTCGTAATTCCTTCATTCTGCGTTCAAGTTCAGGCCCTGGCGATCGGCACTCATGCGTAGATGCAGGTCGCAGTGTAGCCCGGATGCGGCCTGTACCTGCACCACCTGGCCCGTTACGGCGTAGTTCCAATAGCTAGAAAAAGAAAGAAAGACCTTAATAAGCATTGAAGTTTCTTATAATCATCAGCTCATTTCCGTCCCTTGTCCCATTATAATCTGTTAAAGGAAGGAATAAATTACATTACCTTTGGAACAAACACCAAACATAGCGTTCCCGTAGTGCAGAAAATGATGAAGATGGCAATGAGGACGAACAATGCGTCTTTATGATCTTGTAATACCTGTGGAAAACGAAATAATATAATGTCAGCCAAGTTAATATATTATCGATAGAAGTTGATCAAAGTAGAGAATAGAGTGCATCTTACGAGAGTGATAGCAGCTCCCATGATACACATGATGAGCACGTTGTATACTGATAGGCCGATATGCTGAGAGTCATTCAAGGCTGGGATTGACACGTGGCGTGTCTCCCACGCGAGGAAGGCGCCAAAGACCTGGCGAAAAACAGACACACATTATTTTACATTAATGATACACAAATCAAATAAAATGCGATGGTCCTCAAACACAGCCCTGCGATACACCTGGCATAAATATATTTAGAAGATAAACTGGATGGTCATTTTGATTCCTTTCGTAATGTAGTTGGTATTTTTTTATTTTGTTAAATGATCAGTAATTCCTTTGTATTATAATTTACGTAAAATCACTTTTCGTTACATCTTTAATTTTAGTTTATCTAAAGCTTTGATAAGATCATGAAAATGTTAAGGAAAAAACAATGCTGCTAACGTGTTTTACTTACTAGTAATAGTCCCTTATAAGCATAAATGACTCCGATGAAAATCGTCATTCTTTCTGACTGACAGTACTCGTTTTCTTGGACGATGACAATATCTTCACTCGAAGGATGTGGCTGAAAACATAAATGAAAATTATAAAAAAATATGACTAAACAAACACATATATAGTAAAACAAGCTCTTACATAAGGATCCATTTGCTTCGTTGCCCTGTAGAAAGGATCCGAAACTTGCCAGGTGGTCATGATCGCTAGATCAATTGCTAGAAGCACACCCACCACCATAAACAGTTGGTAGTCTTTAATAACCTGCGGAATAATAAATGGTCGTGACAATCATATACTAAGATATAACACTTCAAGTTGATTTAAAACAAGATTTTAGGTCAATTAACCTTTTTATTCAGCTTGACATCAGTAAAGATGGAATGAACTCGCCAGGTCTTGGAAAACATTGCTCCGAAAGCCAGACTGAAGCCGGCCATCAAAAGCCAGGCTCTGGCGGTACAGATGTACGGAAATGCCGCTGTGGAGTCAAAGATAATAATGATATAATAATAATTCATAAGTACGAAACTATAAATGTGTATTATATAATGTACATTTACGAGACTCAGCAAAATCGGATATAAAGTGTAAAGAACTAAAGTATTGTAGCTGTGTCTCGTCACAGTAATAAATTAAAATATTATCACATAACATTACGGTCTATGTTATTTATATTTTATTTCAACACATTTATATTTATTTATATGTTATTTGCAGAACTGAAAAAAATGCATGCATTTTTGCGAAAAAAACAATAAAATAAAATTAAAATGTAAGTAATGTCAAACTGGTTGATTTGATGAAAAGTTAGATGATGCAGGTGATCAGAAATAAGATTTAAACAACACTTCATCAAACAGTTCTCCATGGGACAGTATAAAAGGAAATTAGTAAACATTAGTCATTGAAAAGTTGGAAACACAGACCACAGATGGCAGCGAGATAGATATTCTGAAAACCATTCCTGAAGTAAAGGTAATAGAAAATCTTCCACAACACACCTTTGGTCCGTCAATACAAAGCATTAAAAGAGTAAAAAGCTGTAAGAGAATACAGAGACATACGAACCAACCCACAAAAGCATCGCGGATGAAGGAGCAAACAAACCAAAACTTGGAAACATGCGCGACTCCTCGGACCTAGAAAACTGCCTAGGTCTTTCTCAGAATTAAAATTATATCAAGGATGGGTTAGTTCCCAAAATTTGGTTGAGGATCCACATAGCCCAGGATTCAAGCTCAAGCTTTAGGGGTGGGATCAAGCTTTTACCTCCGTGCGGCGTGTCCTGAGAAAGACCTAAGAACCAATGGCAATGATGAGATCAGATGACATAGTAGCGTGGTCGATGATCGTGCTAGCGTCATGCGAGTCGAATGTGCCTGTTTAAGTATTTTAGTTTAGTTTTAGTTTTTAAATTTCGTTTTTAGAATGGAGGTGGGAGCTAAGCAAAGTCCGTTGTGTTTCAAAATACTCTTGAAAATTATCTATCGTTAAGTAGATGATGAACTAAAAACTACGGTCCCGTTAATTCTCATAAGAATATTAGAATCGGATTAACTTACATGGATATCGTATAAACCAATGCCTATGAGTGTTCCTGAATAAAACAACAATTAGTGACTTAACAATGTCCCAAAAAAATTTAGCTGCGTAATTCTCTGCAGTGTAAAAATTTAATCACTTGCTTAGCACCAGCACTCCTCAGAATCCAAAATGATGAGCATGATGTTACCTCCAGCTCCAAGTTAGAAAGAACACAAAGATGTTAATAAGGCAAGTCAGCACAAAGTTGGAGATGGTCCTGAGGTACTTACCGATGCTGCTGAGGCTGGAGTCGAGACCGAGGAAGATGACACTCAGGTAGGTCAGCATACACCCTACGATGATCAGATTGTTTAGGTGAGGAGATGACATTTTAATGTACCTGTGAAAGATTATTAGTCAAATTACATAACAGTCATCAATCGAAAACAGATGTGCCAAATTTTATTAAAATACGCTGGTAGACCTTTGGTTCCTATAGTGTATGTTCATAGCAAGGAATCCTGTGGCGAGCAGGATACCGAGCACGGAGCAGGACACCAGTATGGAGTAGATGGTGATGTTCACTTGCGTGTGCTCTATCAGCCTCAGAGTGCGGTCTTTTGGAGGGTTTCTGCAGAAGATCACGTTAATTAATAAATAGTCATTTTGAGATATGACAGGTACTCGAAATCGAATTCTCAGCCAAAATAAAATTAGATAAAGACAACGAAGGTAAGAAAAAAAAACAGCATTTTGGGCAAATTAACAGCTCACAGAGCCATGCAGAATTTTCCAATATTATCTAGTTCTAGCAAAATTTTGAATTGATCTAGTATAAAGAGGAGTTTATTCAGGCTATACAAACTTTTATAGGTTAAAACAGATAAATATCTTCTTACTTGCCAAACCATTTGAAGGGCTCTCCGCTGACCAGGTCGAGGTGGTCTCTCTCCGCGCAGTACTCTCCAACTTTCACTTCTCCCGTCCCTTCTCCCTGGAACTGCTTCAGCAGGATCGAGGCCTTGCGCTCATTGTCATAGAAACGAACTGGACCCTAAAAATACAAAAGATAATTAGATTGTGGTTGTTGATTGCAAAGTTTTGATTCCATTTTATTTTATTTTTTCATCGAACTCTTAGCAGGTCTTGTAAATTATTAAACAGAGGGTTCTGTTATTGAGGTAGGTAAATTGTAGATATTGTAGGGCTAGCTAATTAACATTTATTACGTAATTTTAGCATCCTTGCTTTTACTAAATACTATTCCTAATATCGAAAAACACTCCGATGAACGAACTAGTTATTTAATGAAAATTGTAATGGTATGTGTTTTTCTCTTTGAGCAACCATTAAATAATCTCTTTCTTCTATCTGATGATAAAACAAAATAAAATCCTACCGTTAATGGTATACTGACCGTTACACCTTCAAAAGTGACATTGCTGAGAGCATCCAGGAAGAGCTGTTCCCACTCCTTGTCTCTATACTTGAAGTCCTGGACAGTTTTCTCTTTGTATTTGGACCTCACTCGCTGGGCAACAGTCTGGATCGCTAACGCCATCGCCCATATACCTTCGGAGATTTAATCGAAGATTGTAACATGGTGATTAATATTAGGTAGGTAAAGTGTAAAGGTATTTAGCAATAGAACGTCAACTGGAATTCAGCGACAACAGGATTTAAAGACAATAGAAGTTTTTGTGGAATGACTTCAACCACTCTAGAACAAGAGAGAAGACAAGAATACTCCCTTACCATCATAAGTGTAGCCATGGAACCTGGAATACTCTAGGCCTCTTCTGCGGTCGTATTCCACTTGGTAATCTTTTGCTGTCTGAAAAAACATCACCATCATTTAGTTGGATGTATTTCATTCTTGATTATTTATCATATTATTTAACTTTTGGTCCTTACAATTCCAGAAACCGTCGTCTCCCCTGTGGTGGAAAGTGGGAGTAGATCGGTTAGGATGGTAGTATCTAGCGCTGCAGTTAGGTTCTTCTTGGAACAGGGCGCGTGTCTCATCCACCATTTATTGCTGTAGGTGCCCAGGAGAAGCCAGGTGTACGCTCGCCCGTACATTTCTAGGCTGACAGAGAAAAGACGAATAAATAAAATTTCAGACATCAGTTTTTATAGAATCACGTGTCTCAGAACTCATTATTATCAGCCTATACTTAAGTGCCCACTGCTGAGGAAATGCCTCATCTCACACGGAGAATATTTGAGCAATAACCACCACGCTTGCTTAAGGCGGTTTGGCCAGGTTTCCTAACGATGTTTTCCTTCAACGTATGTCAGCGGTGTCTAAATAATTATAGAAAGTACATATAACTCGGAAAATGTCACATTGGTACTTGTCAGGTTTTTGAAACCGCACCCTCATGCATGAGAAGCGGGCGCTTTTACCTCCGGGCCACCTTAACATTTAACTCTACGAAAATAATTATTGTAAGTATACTAACTTATACGCCTCGCAGAATATATGGAGAGCCCAAGTCTCATTGAAGTTTCCTAGGATGATCCGCACGTCTTTTTCTTTGAGCTTAGCCAGCGCAGTCTTCACCTCCGTCGCAAAACTCTGTGTTTCTTCTATGAGGAAGCCGTTGCTGTCCAAGTCAGCTAACAGACGATTATGAGCCTGGTAAATGAAGAATTTTGGTCAAAATTGTGACAGATTATCGTCTTGTATATTTCTGTTGCCTACTATTTTAAGCTTAATTTTCCGACGTAAATATTGCAGATAGATTATAAATCATCTCCATTCGATAATAATTAAATAAACACATATAAAAGGCGAATCCTAACTGGACGACTACTCACCAAAGCATATCTGGGTTCATTTTGGTAGATAGTCCCAACTCTCGTCCAGTTAAAGTGCTGCAGCAACCTGATCCTGGGCAAGTTGAAAGCGTTCTCAGAGGGCACGATGCGGAAGAAATTGGGGAAGGCCTCCTTCGTGAACATTGGATGGGTGTCCGCGTACGAGAGCTGGAAAAACGAGACAAGGAGGCAAACCGAACTAAAGACCACACGTGGGTACCAAATCTGAAGGAAGATAGGACTGTATGGTCTCAGTTTAAAAATGGTACCATGCATCACTAAGTTATGCAACAATCCTATTAAACGGCTAGAATTATTGCACATTTTATTTTTGGTGTGTCTTGCATACACCGATTTGGAGCCATGCATGTAGGTACTCGCTCTCTCGAAACTTATTTTTGTCAACAAATCATCTCACGCCTCCTCTACCTGAGTTAGATGCCAGTGCTTGGACGCCTTGGCAATCGGGTCTGTGACGTGGGTGCACGCCGCCCCGAAAAGCATCAGCTTATGAGGACCACTGTGCATCATGTCGAAGAATGACTTCACGCCGACAGCTGCATTGCACTGTGAAAATGTATCATATCTTAGTTGTATAATAATGCAAGTATATTCAAACGTTCATTTTTTTACACATTCTGCCTTAACTGCAGTTTTCGGGTCTAAAGACTCTACGATTAGATACGATGATACTTTGGCGAACCCTTTATGGTTTTCTTAAGGCTAGTCGAAGTTGCGGGGTAAGTGCAATGAGGCTCCATGGCCTCGGCCTAGAGCAGGAGAAGGGCCTCTCACCTCACCCTGGGCGGGAGAAGTCATTGATGATTTTCCCCTAACAAAAAAGGGTTGTCCAAAGCATCGCAATGAATACAATATGTATGACTTGTCTGCAAATATGAAGGTGTCCTCACCTCAGTATCATTCCACCACATATGCAGCCGGTAGTTGCGCAGCACAGAGTCGTGTTCATTGACATGATCCAGAGCTAACTTCACGCTCGGCATCACCCCTCGACCTATAAGAACAAAAATAAGTATTAAAAAAACAACGTTTTGTTAGTAGTGAATCCAGTAGCTGCACTATATGATAAAATGATATTCTCTGTTTGACTGTCAAAAATGCCCTATACCAAATCCATGTGCAGCGCTGATTGGTAACTACCTAGGTGTGGTTCCAAGCAATTTATACCGATCCCGAAAAACATAAGCCATTTAAATAGAGTTTGAAAATCGAAATATGAACTTTATTCAGGGTTTAACATCGTAAACGACTATATCAATCGTCGTCGGCTACCGATTCGTTGGAAGCAGTGCACCTCTTTTTAAGTACGAAAAAGCCTTGAGCAGATACCGTGGAAGATAGTGGAAGATCCATGCTTGAGCACGAATGAAATAAATCACAGAAATTGACGTGAAGCAATCACAGCGCTGTGTTTCGCAGTATGAGTAAGGTTACTGAAGGCCAATTGCTTGCCCTATCATATTATTCAATATTTAATTTTAAATTTTTATATAATTTTTTTTCTGACTCAAACTTATCATCAGGATTAGATAAAACTTTGATAGGGAAACTACTCAGAAGTACTTAGGAAGCATTAGTTTGATGTAGTTTCGGCAAAAGGTAGCTGCTCATTTTATTCTGTGTAGATATATTTTGGGAAAACTTCCGCAATTCTATTCATTAACTATCAAGAGAATACAAGCACTCTATTAGTTATGAGTTAACGAGGAAACTTGAACAAACTTAGCCATAACTTATTCGTAACTACTTCAGAAGTATTTCCATTAACTTCTAACTCCTCTGGTGAAACAATTCACTTAGCAGCAGTTTACTTACTTAATTGTTTTCAAATCTTTTATTTCAATTACTTTGAAAAGAAAACTAGAGAAAAAGTGTCGGTCTGCCGCCAGTCAGTCTTCTAGTGAAGACTAGCTGCAACTTAGAAGAGTGAGCAAGAGAGAGACACCATGGCTACTCTTTTACAAGAAATACAAATCTTTGTTACACCGATTCGTATCTATAAAATGACTGGCTAGTAGGTACTTATGAAATGGATTTCAATTGATGTTCATAAGAAGATAGATATTAAAGTTTGTTGGGTCAGGTTATTTTAGTTCTTTTAAGTTCCAAGTGTCCCTAACGCTATAAACGCTAATAAAAACGCTATAAAGCTATCTAAATGGTTGCTGAACTTTGTAATGTTTTTTTACGAAAAATCGCACACACATGTGAGTACCTACTCAATTTATAAGTATGTGTTTGTTCATCGTGTGTGAAAGGGCCTGGTGTTCTATATAAAAGAAAGAAATGAGGGGGACAGGAACGGGCTGCGGATAATACCTTTCTTATGACAAAAATAATAAGATCTTGGTTTCTAAATAGAATATTCCGAATTTTTACCATTACGACTATTAGTTTTTCTTAAAAGAAATCCTCATATTTTAAACAAGATGGACGGTCAGGGTGTGGTTCTAAGGCTGTTTTAGAGGTAGATACTTTGCGCCAATTCTTAAATTGAAGCAGTCGGTAGACCCAAATGTCAGTATGAAGATACTAAAAAATATGAGACACGTATTTTTATCACATGGAACATCTCTTTCTGTGATCTGCATCTACTTACCGGTGTTTGAATTCTCCACGCCCTTGCCAAATGGGAAGAAGCCTGCGATGTAGACATCGGTCCTTCTGTTCAGGATCGCGTCCAAGTTCGGTTTCTGTGGGAGCCCCTGGCTGAGGGTCACCAAGACCAGGATCAGCAGCGGAGACATGGCTAGAAAAAAATAGCTTGATTGAATACTTGCTGTTAAGCTTTGAAGAGTTTTCAGTTCTTGAAGATATAAGAAATCATATAATGTTCCCCCTGGTTTATTGCTAATTGGTATCCGTTCTTACCATTCCACCATAATATCTTGAGGAGAAGCTACTATTCATAAAATAAGTTTCAACTCTCACCTAAGACTTGGACCCTGCATAGTGGATGCGCACCACGCCTTCGTCCGTTGAATGCAATTGCTAGAACTGTACTGCAGTCAATACGAAGTTTCCGCAGCGCGCAGCGGCGTGCAGACAAAGGGGATAGGGGGTGGGAGTGGCTATAAATCAATACGACCTGTCTGGCAGCCCCTTCTGTCACTCCCCTCCGGCTTGACTCCGTGAGGGCTTTCAACCCTTACCATATATAGGTATACCTCTACATAAGTCTAATTTTATTCCTAGGTTGGGTAAATTACTTTTTAGGATTTTTGTGCTTAAGCATCTGTCTAATAGATGATGGATGTTTGCCATCATATTATTAGCTTAACACAACTAAATGTGCGCATAGTTGGGACCATTTTATGGTGAACGTGCAATTAGGGGAAAATTATCGCGTTTCCTGTATGGGAGCACAATTTGTGTACAACGGTCTAGGCGATTTGGTTCATGAGATCCAGCTGCACAGCCTGGAGAGTAACAAACCGACAGAAGGACGTACACTTAGTAAAATTGTACCCGTTTTTAGCCTTTGGGTAATTAACTCTAGGAGCGCGCGAGTGTTCGGAAATTAGAACAGATATGCTTAGTTTTAATAAAGTTCCCTTTACACCAACAGCCTATAAGTGCTCACAGCTGAGCAAAGTCCTCTTTACACGCTGTGAATGTTTGAGCATTAATCTCCACGCTCACTGAACGTGGATTGGCAATTTCAAACCTACAATTAGAAATTATAAATCCAAGTCAATGGTGTCTAAATAATAATAGAAAGTACATTTAACTCGGAAAAGTTACATTGGTACTTGCCAGGTTTCGAGCCCGCATCCACATACATAAGAAGCGGGCATGATAAACTCCGGGCCACCACGATGAAGGTTAGATATGCTTAGGTTTAACAGTGTTCCTTTAGTAGGATATAAATTCACCGCCGTATCCTCAGGGAAGTGATCGGCGGCGGCGACCTCTCGCGCCCGGCCTTAGTCGAGGCCATGGTGCGGAGTGAGAGGAACTGGGACGCCGTCTTCTCCTTTTGTGAAGCAGTCATGCTCGCAAAGAGAGAGGCAGCCCGCGTGAGGGAGCAATCCTCCTCCTCACGCCCCAGCAGCTGCAACTGGCGACACTACGGGCGTCGGGGATCGAGGGACGATCTCCGGCCACCGTAAGCAAGGGCCTGCGGCGAGTAAGGGCAGCTCGCCGCCCGACCAGAACCAGGCCCGAGCGTACGGCGCGTAGCGTTCCGCGCGCGCCACAAAGAGCCAATAGACCACCACAGACAGGGTCCTAAAGGGCTGATGTTCAGCCGGGGTGGCACGGTAAGCGCAATGAGGCACCGCGACCTCGGCCCAGAGCAGGAGAAGGAACAGGTGGGTTTTTAGTCAGTAAGAGTCTGACACTCCCTCTCGCCCGGCCCTGGGCGGGAGAAGTCATTTGATGATCTTCCCCTCACAAAAAACAAGTAGGATATAAGTTGTTGCCTTTTGAGCTATTAACGTGTTAATAGCCACTTAAATGTCTAATTACTTATCTTGTTACACACAACGTAACATTAATTAGGAGCTGGGGTTGGTTCATTCTAATTTATCTTTAGTCTGTATAATACTTCGAAGAAGTTTGGTAATAAATATAAAGTATCACCCATTACTAAAACGTAATGGAAAGGAGCTATTTTGGTCTAGATAGATTTTTTCCAAATCTTTGTTATTATATCAGAACGTCGCGTTATTTTTCTTGGTAGTCCACGACCAGGAGCATCTTTTTTTTCAAATTCAAATGTTTATTGCATTCCATAATGTTATATTAGGTGTTATTATATGTGTATCAGTATTAAGATCATTATGGACCCTGTCGGGCACAGCAAATTACGAAATAATAAAATTAACTTACATTACAAAGTGTGACGGAAAAGTGGTTCAAACTCTTTGACATCATGACGTCAATGGATGGTTGTCAAACGTTGCCTAGAGATTGTAAATTTCGTCGTGAATTGTCAACACGAGTTGGTGTAATCGGTAAGGCGTGTGAATTACACCACAGAGACCCCGAGTTCGAGTCCCGCCGTAAGCATGAAGTTTTTTAGTTGATGGAAGTTTTGTCGAACTTTCTGGAATTATTTGTGTGAAAGAAATGAAAAATTAAAGCGCGAGAAGGAGAATAAATAAAAATGAATAACGAAATTATCGGAAGGTTCTGGAGGCATGACGATCAAAAAAGAATAACGAAATTGAATGTTCCAAAACCTGACCGGGGGTATATAAGCGGAACTGCGGCTCACCGCTAGCAGTTGAGTTCTAAGTCCAAAGCGATTCGGAAGAAAAGGAAGAAGTGAAAAAGAAGAAAAGTGAGTGAAATAGTGAAGTGCAGTGAAATAGTGAAGTGCAGTGAGTTAAGTAAAAGTCAGCGTGAACTGCGAGCGGCAAACGGAAGTTTGTGTCAGTCGCCCGGACTCTGCTGGAGAGGAACGCCGAAAACTTAACTCGGTGGACACTGTCATTTAAGTGCAATAGAAAGTCTGAAAACCGGTATTAGCGTTTAATTTTATCCAATCCGGCTTGGGTTACGCCCAAGCCCGCATAGTCAGGAACGTGACGTCAGGCACGTAACATTAATAATAATAAAAATGTTTCTAATCTATAACTACGTAACGTAAAACATCTTATACATTAGAGGGGTATATATGTAACTTTACTGTATTTTGAAAATAATCATTTCTTGTGATATGCCTAAAATTATTATTGTATTTGTACTTTTTCATCAAAGAAATCTTTCAACATTTTTCAATTAAATATTTTTTAGTCTTACTATAAATACATTGTTTTTTTCTATTTCTACAATTTCTTTTGGCAGTTTATTATATATTTTTATGGACATTACTAGGGGGCCGGAATGCTACATTTTAAGTCGGGATGGGGGTAGGTTCAGTCTGTTTTTGTGGCGTAATGTGTATTTACTTTGTGTTAAGATAATAATGTAATGAGTTGACGCGATTTTTTTGTGGAAAATCAATTTATGACTTCTCCCGCTCAGTGTGAAGCGAGAGGGAGTGTCAGACTCTACTGTAGCTGCCGTGCTCGGTAAGCACCTGCTTCAGGCGGAAGGTGAGGACGCCGTGGCGTCTCTCAAGCCACTCCTCAAAGAGGGGCGTTACGGCTGTTAGGCCCTCAGTTGCGACAGTCGCTGATTTTATTCCACTCTGCCATGAGATCTCGCCGGAGCTCATTCCGCCACGCACTAATTTGGCGCGGCAGAGGATCCTCGCCCCAGCGACGCGCGTTTGCTCGCAAATTGTAGACGAGCGCGGCGCCGAGTTACCCTGACTCGCCGTCTGCAGACCCGCGTTTACGGTGGCCGGAGATCGTCTCTCGATCCCCTACGTCCAGAGTGTCGCCTACTGCGGCAGCTGCGGCGTGAGGAGAAGGATAGCTCCCTCACGCGGTCCGCTTCCTTCTTTGCGAGTATAACTGCTTCACACAAAGAGGGGACGGCTTTCCAGTTCCTCTCGCTTCGCACCATGGCCTCAACTCAGTCTGGGAGTTAGAGGATGCCGCTGACGATCACTTCCCTGAGGACATGGCGGTGCTCAACTTAAGCAGGGCACACCGCCACCGTATGCTCCACCGTGTGCTCAGGGTGGTCCTTACAATGACGTCAATCGGGCGTTTCCTCCTGCCGGATCCGAAACAGGAACCTACCGAAACTGCCGTACCCGGTAGGCATCTGCGTCAGGCCCAACGTACGGTGAGGACGCCGTGGATGTACAAATGATGAGAGTTCTGCACTGTATGTGAAAATAATCTCAAATTGAAACACGTTATTAGGATGAACGGTCTACACTCTACCAAGAACATGTTCTTTGAAAATACCTGACTCACCTCTACGGTTAAAGACACCTCATTGCTTATCGTAGGTATAATACGACGGAACTTCCTCATGTTAAAGGGATTTTGCAAAATTACCAGTTTGTTGTCGAGCCCGGCAACCGTTACATAAAAATAATACTTATAGATTCAGTGTTCACGTGCGACGGCGCGATGGCTTACTAGCGTAAATATAAGTTTAGTGTTTCTATACCGATGTTTATGACTTTTTTTGTGAATAAGGGATGATGTAAACTTTTTTAATTAGGAATAAGTGAAAGTATAATAAACGCAAGAGTAAACAAATATGAAATCAGAATGCTCCAAACTGCTAAGCTATCAGTTAGCTACACGTGATATTGTGAGTCAACCATAAAAGATGAAAATAAATACTGTTGTGAGATATTTTATAAATAATTTTATGAATAACATTCCCGTGATACATGATTTCTATATAACTTTAACCACTAAGACTGCACACGCGACGGAAGCTAAAAAAAATTAAGTAACTTTTCCCGTTTTCTCAACATTTCTCTTTACTGCTCTGCTCCTATTGATTGAAGCGAGATGAAAAGTGTATAACCCTATAACCTGCATAGGAATATGGAGAATAATTGTACCAAGTTTCATTAAAATCTGTCGAGTAGTTTTAGTTTCTATAAGGAACATACAGACAGACAAAAATTTTACAGATTACATTTTTGGCATCAGTATCGATCACTTATCACTCCCTTTTTTGTGAGGGGAAAATCATCAAAATGGCTTCTCCCGACCAGGGCCGTGCGGGAGGGAGTGTCAGACTCTTACTGACTAAAAACCCCTCTGTTCCTTCTCCTGCTCTGGGCCGAGGTCGCGGTGCCTCATTGCACTTACCCCGCAACCTCGGCTGATCATCAGCCCTATAGGGTCCCGTCTGGGTGGTCTATTGGCTCTTTGAGGCGCGC